ATCCCGGCGGGACGGCTGGTGCCAGGCGCTCCTCCTCGTCGGCCTCCTCGCTGCGCCGCCTGATCCTCACCCTCCTGCACCTTCGCCGCCTGCTCCTTCTGCGCATCCGCCCTGAGCTGCTTGATCTTCGCGAGCCGATCCTCGATCTTGATCTTCGGTCCCGTCTTGACCCCGCCCCGCTTGAGGTACTGCGCCTTCACCGTCCAGTGCGCCTTCTCGGCACTCTTGATGCCCACCGCGTGGGGCCGCCGGCAGGTCGTGGCGGTCTTCGAGCACCCATCGTGGCACGCCGCATCCCAACACTTGGGTTCCCCCTTGGAGTCCACCGGCCCGTGTTTGATCGACTCCGCGACCTCGGTACTGGTCAGGGCCGACAGGACCTCCGCCGGGGGTTTGACCTTGCTCGCCCCCGCCTTCGGGACTCCTCCACCTCCTGTCAGCGCTCCAACTTTCTCCCCACCGCCGCCGACGGGAAGGGGCTGTGGCAGAGATCCTGCCGGGCGACGCTCCTCAACCTCATCCACCCCGCCTGCCACCAGAGGACGCAGCCGGGCGCGGTGAGCGTTTTCCCAGTAGGCGCCGTCCGCAGTCTTGACCAGGCGTTCGAAGATGACCGTCTTGAAGTATCCGTCGGGGCCTTCCACTTCGAACGTCGTAGGCAAAGTCAGTAGCGGTGGTCCCTCTGGGGTCGGCGTTCGGGCAGCGAAGATGAAGTCCTCTTTCCTCATCAGCTCCTTGTTGCAGAAGCGGTGCACCTCCTTCACCTTCCAGCGCAGCTCCTCCCACCATCGACCGTTCAGCTCCTCCCAGGCATCCTGGACAAACCGAGCAGTATACTTCCGCGGCTTCGCCTCATGCTGTCTGATGAGGTAGTCCAAAGCCTCGCTTCTCTCGCCCCAGTGCTCAGCCCCATACGCAAGACTAGCTGCCCATATGCCGTTGCGGGCCTGGCGCGCCCACTTCAGCATATCCACGGGCTGCTTCGGGCGCGGCTCGATCTTGTACTCGGTCGTGGGCCCGTTGTCGTCGAACAGCTCCTCCGGGCATGTCACCCAATCCGCCACGCTGAGTGCGTGCGCCGCCAGCGTCTCCACCGACTTGCCTTCCCACGACCCCGACGCGATGCCGAAGGCGATCCTGTAGTTGATCAGGGTGGGCCACCGATGGCGCTTGAACAACGCCGAGGAGTGCTCCGCCATCCGCAGGAGCGCCTTGACCAGCGCACGGCCCAGGTCGCCCGGGCAGATGGCCACCCTGAACCTCCCGCAACCGCGCGCCGCCAGCACCAGCAGCTCGTGGTCCTTCGTGATCGACTGGAGGGTGCCCATATTCCCCGCCGCCGCGCCCTCCGCCTGCTTGTTCGGTAAATGACCTTCACAATACCCTCGTTGTCCTTCCCCTCTGGGTCGCCGAGGGCCCCTGCCGACCTCCAGACCTTCTCCGACGGGCCGTAATCCTCCTCGTCGAAACTCACCCTCGATCTTCTCGCAGGCACTCCGAAGGTGGGCCCAGCCCTGTGCTCGAAGAGGTCCATGGGGGGTGGTGTGGGGTCTTGTCCTAGCCGACCCGACGGCGGACCTCTGCCCAGCTCTGCCCGCACGGTGCTGCCCCGCAGATCGACGCCTTGAGCGCCCAGGTCGGTTGCCCGCCGCTTGGGCGCCCACCTCCCGGCGTACCCCCCTTCCTCCTTGGGGGGGCGGCTGGACTCGAGCGCCCTGCCCAGGCCGGGAGGCGCCTCCACTGCCACAGGGCGCGCCGTGGGAGGCGTGGGCGGCCGTGCGGGGCCAGGGGCTGGCCGTGCCAGCCCCTCCCGCCACGCTCCTCCCGCCACCTCCTCCTCATGTGCCTGGCTCAGGCCGCGCCTCTCCCTCAGCACCTCAGCCAGCTGCCTCAGGTTCTCCACCTCGTCGTCCGACATGAAGGAGCCGCGGTCCCTCTCCAGGGCTTCGAGCGACTCGACGATCGCGTCGCACGCATCTCCCAGGTCATCGAAACCCTCAGTGTGCTGGTACCTCTCGGCCACGCCCAACGGGTGATCCTCTCCGCTCGCCCGCGACTTCAGGAACTCCAATGCCAGGGCCGCCTCACCTCGGCGTCGCCAGCGCTTCCGAGCCGCCCCTCTCAGGATGCCTCCCAGCTCTCCTCTGGTCAGCGTATCCCTCCATGGTGGCTGTGGCGGGTACGTCGGGGGACCCGGGAGCGGCAACCTCCGAGTGGGTGGGTCATCGCGCCCTCCTCCTGCCTCCTCGACCCCTCGCGTCAGGATGCAAAGGGGGGGGTCCTCCCTCCCCGTCGACCCACGCGCCAGCGCCAGCGCCACTGGGCTTGCTGTCCTGCCGAACTCATCCATCCCGTCGGGTATCTGGTTCACCGTCCGCACGATGATGGCTGGCGCTCCTGCGGCTGCGGCCTGGGCACACACACACACACACACACACACACACACACACACACACGATCGTCGATCACCGGCCCAAGGTTGGACGGGACAGAAACCTGTGCGTCGATACCTGGGATGCGATACGTCGTCCAACCATCCTCCTCAGCCGTCAACTGGCACCCAAAGCAGTATTACTTCTTGGCCGACTCCGTGCCCGGGGGGGCCCGCACCATGGCTGTCAGCCACGCTCCACTGGCTGATACCAAGGGTATGATGGCTCGCCCAGCTGAAGACGTAGGCGATCTCGACCTGTACCGATGGGCCGGCTCCGACACGATCCCCGCCACCCACAGGCACTGGTCCCTCAGCAGCAGCGGCGAGACGCGCGGGTTCCTCGGCCGTAAGGTCGTGCTCCAGGCACGTCAGCACGCCGCGGCTCATGAACCGACCCACAGCGTGGCAGCCGAGGTGCGCGCACTTCCTCCCTCTTCTCTCGCGCTCGTAGGCGTTCGTACGCTGCCAGCACAGGTTGACCACCTTCTCGGCCCCCTTGACGTTCGACTTCTCTCCGTCCTCCGTGACCAAACGGACAAGGGCACCTCGGGCTCGATCTCGACACTTCTCCTTGGACAGCTGGAAGATCGTGTCGCCCTCCTGGTACAGCACCTCGTGGGCCATGCAGCGCTGGTGCTCCGGCTCCGACTCCGTCTCCGCGTTCGGGTCCTTCAGCAGGGCGGCTGGGGTGTCGGCCTTGCCGCGTCGGCCACGCTGACAGCCCCTCTGGCCGCAGCGTTTGAGTGACCCGCAGAGCTTGGCACACCCCGTCAACCCCACGGCTGCACAGCCCCGGCCGCAAGACGCAGCGGCGGCTCCCACTGCTCGCCCGGCCCAGCACGGCTGCGGCGCCGCCTCCACCAGCGCCTCCAAGTTGGTGTCCGTCTCCGCGGTAACGTACCCGTACGCAGGGGCGTGGACGGCGTAGTTGCCGTCGTCCGTGCACGGCGTGTCCCGGCACAGGTACACCACCTTGTCCTGGGAGTCCTTGAAGCAGATTGCGCAGCCGCCGTGACGTGGTAGCGAGCACCTCGCGACACGGCCAGGCCACTCTGGCCTTCTTGTACTTGATCCCAGCGTTCAAGGGTGGCCTCTCCAGCCTCGCAGCCGCGTCGCCCACCTTGATGATCAGGTGGCGCGGCACTTTGTCGGGCCCCTTGGCGCGAAGCTGGGCGTAGAACTCATTCTCCACGGCGATGGCGGTGGCTGGTCCTCGTAGTTCAAGGACCACTCCTTTCTCCGTGGCTGCAGCCTGCGGCTTCGCGGCTGGACAGCACAATCCCAACGCTCGACCCAGGCAACGGAGCGGGGAGCAGATCAGCACGTCGAACGCCGAGGCAAGGGAGTGTAGACCGTAGCCCAAGCCAATGATGAGAGCCACCATCAACCCAGCGAACGTAGTTCGGCACATCAGGGGCCAGCCAGTACCGAAGGCAGCGTAGCCCACCGTTTTGAGCCCGCTCCTGACTAACCCGCCTCCGCCCCACATCAGGTCCGACCACTGTATCTCAGACGGCGGCAGGTCGGAGATCCAGCCCCCCAGCCAGCTCACCCCGAACTTGATTCCTCCGGAGCTGGACCAGCCCCGCAGCTCTTCCTCCTCCTCCTCCTCCTCTGCATCGCTCCCCGCAGCGTGGCCCTCAGCACGCTCCGCATCGGACCGTGCCCGCGGGGCGGGGGGTTCGCGGCGCCGACTCGCTAGCCAGCCCCACAGCTCCGCTCGTCGTCGCCGCGGGCTGCTCTCCTCGCTGTCGCCCGGCGGCGCAGCGTGCCCCGCTGGGGGCTGGGCCGCCGCCTCCGGGGGGCGCTGGCGTTCCTTCCCTCCCGCGGGCGGGCACTCCGCCGGTCCAGGGGTGGGTCCTCGCCCCTTCCCTGCGGCAGGCGCTGGCCCTGCGGGTGGTGCTGCTCGGCGCTGCGACCCCTCAACGGCCGCCGCCGCGCCGCGACGCCGCTGGTCCTCCTCCAGCGCCCGCAGCAGAGGCTCGTACGCCCCTCCCTTGTCCACCTCGGCCTTTGTGGGCGGTGCGCCGTCAGCGGCCCGAGCTGCGGCGGGCAAGGACGGCGTCGCCGGCACTGCCCTCCACCTGCGGCCAATCTCGATGGCGGCCACGGCCCCGATGATCATTGGCAGCAATGCCATCATGCAGGCGCTGCCCCAGCGGTCAACGCCTGGACACACGCCTCCTCCTCTGTCACGGCGCCCCTGGGCGCCTCAGCTCCTCATGGCTACCCGTGCGCGGCCCTGGGCCGCGGGGCGAGTCGCGCCCCCGCGCGACTGGCCCCCCTCAACGGCCCGAGAAGGAACTTGAGCCCCAAAGGGGCCGCGGAAGGGGAAAGGGACAGAGAGCAGGAGAGACCCTTCCCTCTCCCCAGGCACTTACTCCCTGAAACCCTACGTTTTACGCATGCTCAAGCTCTCACGTTCTGCGTCCGGTCACTCGGCGTGCTGCGCCACGGAAGGATGATTGCGGAATTCTTGTGGGGACACGCTGTTCCCGACGTCTAAACGGACACCGTGGTCCCATTGGTTGAACAAATCTGGACGCGCCCCCAAGGCGCGCAAGAGATCCACGTCCAATCGGAGCCCCTTGATGTGGCCCACCCAAGTCGCCCTGGCGTCGGCATTGCGGTCTCTTCAATAAGACGGGTGAGACGGGGATGGACCCCCGCAGAAGTTTCGGCCAACATGCCTGAGCCTCGACGGCTACGGAGAGGGTGACGCCGTTCAACCAAGGTGCCGGACGAGGCGCTGGATTAACAACATTATAGCCGGAGTGCAGTATCCCCAAACAGGGTTTTAGACCCACTGCGGTTTCCAAGGTTGATTGCGTGCCCGTCCAGTGCGGGCTGGCATGGCATGTTAAAACATGCCTCCTCCTCCTCCTCCTCCTCCTCCTCCTCCTCCTCCTCCTCCTCCTCCTCCTCCTCCTCCTCCTCCTCCTCCTCCTCCTCCTCCCTCCTCCACCTCCTCCTCCTCCTCCTCCTCCTCCTCCTCCTCCTCCTCCTCCTCCTCCTCCTCCTCCTCCTCCTCCTCCACCTCCTCTTCATCCCGAACGGAATCTCGGAGCCCAGAGTTGCGAGGATCTCTCCAGCGTAAGGGGCTGGACCTCCTCGCGCGCGGCATTTCGGACCCCAGAGTTGCAAGGATGTCTCGGGCGAAACGTGCTGCGAGGAAGTCTCAGGCGGAACGGGCGGACCACCTCGAGCGCGGCGCATCGGAGCTCCAAGTTGCGGAGGCCTCCTAGACCTCCTGGTGCCTCCTGGTGACCTCCTCGGGCTTCCTCCTGGGCCTCCTGTGGCCTCCTGGACCCCACCTGAGGCTTATCTAACACGTGGCCGTCGGGGCCCCAAAATGGAGGGGGGGGCACAAGAGCAGGAAAAACAACGAATCAGCACAGGATGTGTATTGACTTGACACGTTCTGATAGGGGGCCTCCTGGGGCCTCCTCGGAGCCTCCTGGGAATCTCTTGCGGACCCCAGGGGCCTGTCCTGGGCCTCCTGCGGCCTCCTGGCGCTCTCTGGGGCCTCCTGGGGCTCCCAGGGTGGATATGTAACATGTGGTCTTCTGGGCCCCCAGGCTGGACCACCTCTTGCGCGGCATCTAAACGCTCAGAGTTGCGAGAATGTCTTGTGCGAAACGGGCCGGACCACCTTGCGCACGGCATCTCAGAGCTCAGAGTTGCGAGGATGTCTCAGGCGAAACGGACCGGACCACCTCGCGCAGGGCATCTCGGAGCCCAGAGTTGCGAGGATGTCTCAGGCGAAACGGGCTGGACCACCTCGCGCGCGGCATCTCGGACCCCAGAGTTGCAAGGATGTCTCAGGCGAAACGTGCTGCGAGGAAGTCTCAAGCGAAACGGGCCGGACCACCTCGAGCGCGGCGTCTCAGAGCTCCGTGTTGCAGGGGCCTCCTGGGGCCTCCTGGGACCTCCTGGTGACCACCTGGGGCTTCCTCCTGGGCCTCCTGCGGCCTCCTGGACCCCACCTGTGGCTTCCTGAAGCCTCTTAGGGCTCCCAGGGGGGTATCTAACATGTGGCCGTCGGGGCCCTCTAAAAATGGAGAGGCACAAGAGCAGGAAAAATCAACAAATCGACACCGGATGTGTATTAACTTGACACGTTCTGGTAGGGCGCCTCCTGGGGCCTCCTGGGAGCCTCCTGGGAATCGCCTGGGGACCCCCTGGGGGCTGTCCTGGGCGTCCTGCGGCCTCCTGGAGCTCTCTTGGGCCTCCTGGGGCTCCCAGGGTCCCCGGGGGATATGTAACATGTGGTCTTCTGGGCCCCCAGGCTGGATCACCTCTTGCGCGGCATCTGGGAGCTCAAAGTTGCGAGAATGTCTTGTGCGAAACGGGCCGGACCAACGTGCGCACGGCATCTCAGAGATCAGAGTTGCAAGGATGTCTCAGGCGAGACGGACCAGTGTCTCGGGCGAAACGTGCTGTGAGGAAGTCTCAGGCGAAACGCGCCAGACCACCTCGAGTGCGGCGCCTCAGGGAGCTCCGAGTTGCGGGGCCTCCTGGTGCCTCCTGGAGCCTCCTGAGGACCTCCTGGGGCTTCCTCCTGGGCCTCCGGTGGCCTCCTGAACTCCACCTGGGGTTTCCTGAAGCCTCTTGGGGCTCCCAAGGGGGATATCTAACATGTGGCCGCTGGGGGCCCTCAAAATGGAGGGGCACAAGAGCAGGAAAAAACAACGAATCGACACCGGATGTGTATTAACTTGACACGTTCTGGTAGGGCGCCTCCTGGGGCCTCCTGGGAGCCTCCTGGGAATCGCCTGGGGACCCCCTGGGGACTGTCCTGGGCGTCCTGCGGCCTCCTGGAGCTCTCTTGGGCCTCCTGGGGCGACCAGGGTTCCAGGGTGGATCTGTAACATGAGGTCTTCTGGGCCTCCAGGCTGGACCACCTCTTGCGCGGCATCTAAACGCTCAGAGTTGCGAGAATGTCTTGTGCGAAACGGGCCAGACCACCTTGCGCACGGCATCTCAGAGCTAAGAGTTGCGAGGATGTCTCAGGCGAGACGGGCCGGACCACCTCGCGCACGGCATCTCAGAGCTCAGACATTCGAGGATGTCTCAGGCGGGCCACCAGGGTCCCAGGGGGGATATGTAACATGTGGTCTTCTGAGCTCCCAGGCTGGACCACCTCTTGCGCGGCATCTGGGGGCTCAGAGTTGCGAGAATGTCTTGTGCGAAACAAGCCGGACCACCTTGCGCACGGCGTCTCAGAGCTCAGAGTGGCGAGGATGTCTCAGGCGAGACGGGCACCACCTCGCGCAGGGCATCTCAGAGCTCAGAAGTTCGAGGATGTCTCAAGCGAAACGGGCCGGACCACCTCTCGCGCGGCATCTCCGAGATTTGAGTTTCGAGGGTGTCTCAGGCGAAACGAGCCGGACCACCTCGCACAAGGCATCTCAGAGCTCAGAGTTTCGAGGGTGTCTCAGGCGAAAAGGCCCGGACCACCTCTCGCACGGCACCTCGGGGCTCAGAGTTTCGAGGATGTCTGAAGCGAAACGGCTTGGACCACCTCTCGCGCGGCGTCCCAGAGCGCAACTTTTCGAGGATGTCTCAGGCGAAACGGCCAATCCCAGCCAACTCAGAAAAGAGAGTTGTGAGGATGTCTCAAGCGAAACGGCCCAGACCATCAAATGTTTGTGAGGATGCCTCTGCTCCGACTTCCCTCGGCTGGACTTATTGTCTATAACAACAGCACCCCGTTCAGCAAGCTGTGTAAGGAAAAACACTGTGAAGTGGCGGGCCCCGCGGAACACTGGGCGCAGCCAAGGGACCTCGGTATCAAAATGCCAGTGGGCAGGGGGAGAGGGGTGGGAGGAGGAAAGAAGGGAGGGAGGGGAGGGAGGGGGGGCGGGAGGGGAAAAGGACCAGAGAGAAGAGGAGGGGGAGGGTGGGCGAGGGACGGGGGGGAGGAAGGGGGCGAGGGAGGGCTGGAAGAGAGGGAGCAACAACAACGTCGCCGACGCCCACCTGCTTGCAGCCAGCACTGCCACGAATTAGCACACTGAGCACCCGTGCGCCAACGTGGCTGGAGGGAGCGGCCAGCTCGCAGCTTGTACTGCTGCGCGCCGAACGCGTGAGAGAGAAAACTGCAAGATGGCAGCCCGCACCGCCACGCACAAGTACATGAAGCACCCGCGCGTCACGCGGCTGAGTGATTCGTCCGAAGACAGTTGGGACAGATACATTTATTTAGGTATGTATGTATGTATGTATGTATGTATGTATGTATGTATGTATGTATATATGTATGTATGTATGTATGTCTGTCTGTCTGTATGTATGTATGTATGTATGTATGTATGTGTGTATGTATGTATGTATGTATGTGTGTATGTATGTATTTACGTATTTAGTTATTTGGTTGTTTAGTTGTTTAGTTATTTAGTTATTTAGTTATTTAGTTATTTAGTTATTTAGTTATTTAGTTTTTTAGTTATTTAGTTATTTAGATATTTAGTTATTTAGTGTTTTAGTTATTTAGTTGTTTAGTCATTTAGTTATTTAGTTATTTGGTTATTTAGTTGTTTAGTTATTTAGTTGTTTAGTTATTTAGTTATTTAGGTATTTAGTTAATTAATTATTTAGTGATTTAGTGATTTAGTTATTTAGTTATTTAGTTATTTAGTTATTTAGTTATTTAGTTATTTAGTTATATAATTATTTAGGTATTTAGTTATGTAGTTGATTAGTTATTTAGTTATTTAGTTATTTAGTTATTTAGTTGTTTAGTTATTTAGTTATTTAGTTATTTAGTTATTTAGTTATTTAGTTATTTAGTTATTTAGTTATTTAGTTATTTAGTTATTTAGTTATTTAGTTATTTGGTTATTTAGTTATTTAGTGATTTAGTTATTTAGTTATTTAGTTATTTAAGTATTTAATTATTCAGTGTTGAGTTATGTATTTATTTATTTATTCATTTATGTATGTATGCATCTATTTATTTATGTGTGTATTTATTTATTTATTTGTTTATATATTTACTTATCTAGTTATGTATTATGTATTCGTTTATTTGTTTATTTTTTTATTTATTTAGTCATGCATGTATTTGTTTATTTATTTATGTATGTGTTTGTGTATGTGTTTATTTATGTATTTACTTATGTATTTAATGATTCAATTATTTATGTATGTAGTTATGGATTCATTTATGTATTTATGTATGTATTTATATATTTATTTATTTATGTATTTATGTATTGATTTATTTGTTTATGTATTTGTTTATTTATTTATGTATGTATTTATTGATGTATTCATTTATTTATGTATGCAAGTATTTGTGTATTTATTTGTTGATTTATTTATGGTTTCATTTATGTGTGTATGTATGTGTGTATGTATGTATGTATTTATATATTCATGTATGGATTTATCTCTCTATGTATTTATGTAGTTTGTTATTTCTTTACTTATTTATTTATTTATTTATGTAGTTATGTATTCATTTGTGTATTTGCTCATTCATTCGTTTATGTGTTTATTTATTTATTTACTTACTTATTTATGTATTTATGTATGTATCTAAGTATTCATTTATTTATTTATGTATTTATTCATTCATTCATTTACTCATTTATTTATGTATTCATTTGTTTATTTGCCTATTTATTTCGTTACTCGTTTGGGAATTTATTTGTTTATTTAATGTTTCGTTTGTGAATTATTTCTGAACTTA